ACATTAGAGAACTAGGATTTTCAAGATACTTGACACAGAACTAAGACAAAGATCTTCATGCTGGTCCTTGGCCTATCCCCATGGCCTTCATTGGGTCCCGCCTACACTCTCTTTGTCCATTCGCACAAAAGCTCTCGTCTCTTCTTTTTCTCCCAACATGGCCCTTGATGGCTATTTGAGATGACACTTCACACACCCTCCCACTAATCCACCCTTAGAAACATGAGACTCATCCTCACATTTCCCCAGGGCTCCGTTTTCAGAAAGGCCAGATCCCATTTTGAAAATCAGGAAGAAAGAAAGAGCAATTGGGCTCAGACAGGTTGAGCTGCCCTTTTTTGTTTTGTTTCCTTTCTGCAGTGCCCAGTTGGCAAACCATTTCCTCCCAAACACCATGTGGATGGGGCTCCATGGCTGTAATGGGCCTTGCAGCCGTAACCCACGTTTATAGCTTCCTTCTCCCACCATGCATCCCAGCTTCCTCTGCCTCCCACCAGCGTCTCGCCTGCTCAGGGGTCTTCACCAGGCTGTGGTTGTTAGGTTCCATTGATAGCCACCCTGTGAATGACAAACCCGAGCCCTGTCCTCCCCTGTGCCAGTCCACACACGTGAGCCCACCGCTGCAGTCACCATGTCAGTCCATCTCGTCAAGGATCTTCCTCTCCTTCATCATCACCCCACTTTTCCAAATATGATGGCCCTCTCCAAAGAATAACCCTTCCTAGCAACATTCCCAAAGTACGTGAGATGAAGCTTTGTTGCCTCCAAGGAGCACTCTGACTGCACTTTCTTTACCAGATAGAGTGACTTAGTCTGAGGATGTCAAATCTCTCCAAAATGCATTGCTCATTTTACAGAAATTCCATCAAGGCTTTTTATTGGTTGGTTGGCCTGGCAAGTTGGTTCTAAATGTATACAGATGAACAAAGCGCCAATTCAGGGTGTTTCCTGTAAACAGGATCATGGCTTACGTGTCCTTTTGTGTGTAACTCCTGTTACTGAGTGTGATGTTCTCAAGGTTCCTTCTCACACAGAGTGAGTAGATGGAGAACCTACCCTGCTCAGAGGTGATCAAACTCCAATAACAAAGACCAGGCTTCCAACAGGACCACAGTCACAGTACAGAGCAGTACAGAGGTCAGAATTCCAACACTATTCAATTTTGAGGGGACACAATTAAATTTATAGCACATGGGGACTTAAGTAAACATATAAAGAAAAGTCACAGGGTTTTCTGATTCACTTCTACATTCTCCTCTTTGGGGCACCCATCAAAGCTAGCCTGGGCTCAGGGACAGGCCACCTCACCTCTTGTTGGGAAGAGCACCAACATGTTTGTGGACATGGCGGGGGGTGTTTCCCCAGTCAACACAAGAAGTCTGACATAATTCTGAATTCCTTATCCCTAGGGAGCGCTGCTGGCTTAGTGTTAAGGAGCTGCATTGTCAACCCAAAGGTTGTTGTTGTTGTTGTTGTTGTTGTCAGGTGCCATACACTCACGTATGACTCATAGTGAACCTATAAACAAAAGATCTGAACCAGTCCTGTCCTGTGCCATCCTCACACTTCCTGACACACAAGAGCGCATTGCAGCAGTCACCGCGTCAGTCCACCTGGTTGAGGGTCTTCCTCTCCTCCAACCCTCTGCCCTTCCCAATATCATATCCTTCTCCAAGGAATAGCACCTCCTAGCAATATGTCCGAAGTACGTTAGGTGAAGCCTCATCATTCTTTCCTCCAAAGAGCTCTCTGGCTGCACCCTCTCCAAGACATATCCATTAATTTTCTTGGCTATCCATGGAATTCTCAGTGCTCTTCTCCAAGACCACAGCTCAAAGGCATCAATTCTTTTTCTGTTATCCTTAAACATTGTCCAAGTCTCAGATGCACAGCTAGTAATCAGAAAAACCATGGCCTGAATCAGATGCACCTTAGTCCTCAAATTGACATCACTACTTCTCAATAAATTGGAAAGGTCCCTAACTGCAGGTTTTCCCATTTCAATGTGTCCCCTTATTTCCTGACTGCTCATACCAAGGGTGTTAACCCAAAGGAATGAAGTTCAAATCCACTAGATGCTTCATAGGAGAAAGATGACTAATCCCCTCCTGTGTGATTTACAGCCTCTGAAAACCCATTGGAGGGTCAGCTGTGAGTTGGTTTTGTGTGCTCGCCTGTTCTTTTCTGTGGTGGAACCTCTGGGGGAGCGGGGAGGGCTCTGGAATCTCAAATAATTGTTTTTGTAGTTAACCTTGGTCTTTTGCACTCATTGTCCTGGACCTTTCCATTACAAGTTTGTCCTCTGCAGTCCTGGGAAATGTTATGTTATCTAGAACATTCACTTCCTCCTTGTCATCCCCCCCCCACCTCTACTCCAGCCATGTCTTGATTGCTTCACGTGCTCAAGAAAGTTGGACAATGAACAGAAGAGATTGAAGAACTGATACATTTGAATTGTGTTGGCTGGGAGTATTCACCATACCAGGGACTGCAGGGGGGGAAAAACCAAGAGCTCTATCCTGGAGAAAATACAACCGGGGTGCTTCTCAGAGGTAAGGATGGTGAAACTTTGGGCACGTTGCCAGGAGACACCAGTCCTTGTGAAAAGACATCATGCTGCCAAAAGCGGTGGCTCTGTGAAAGTGGAAGATCCTCAGTGAAGTGGACTGAAAATTGCAACAGCAAATTTGAGCCCGTTGAGACTGTGAAGGTGATGCAAGGCTGGGCAGGGTTTCCATCTGTTCACAGGTCTCCACTCCATGGTGCCTGCACAACCTTGTCACGAGCTGGATTAGACTGTAATCCCCAATCCCTGGAATATGCTGGCAGTGCAAAGTCACAGGATCATTTCTCCACCACTTACATGGCTAGTGAGGTTGGGTGAGACTCTGTCCCTGCCCCCTCACGGGATCCTGGCCTGGAAGGGCTGCACCTCTCTGCCCACAGCCCATTGGCCAGGCTGCCAAAACACATGACCACAAACCTGGGTCCTGAAACAGAAGGGACTCTGTGCTGGTTGTTCAGGAGACCAGAAGTCTGACTTCCAGGTGTCAGAGGGCTCACTCCCTCTACAAGTTCTAGAGAAGGGTCCTTTCCTGCCTCTTCCAGCCCTGAGGATCCCAGACAATGGGCCCTGGTTCAACCCCCAGCTTCCCTGCCTCTTCAAGCCCTGCGGATCCCAGGAAATGGGCCTAGGGCTAGTTCAAGCCCCTGCTGGGAATTTACATGTCCATCCCAGGTATCTGGAGTCAGAACCTGCTGGTTAATAAAGATCCCAGATGCTTTTCTATATACACATTTGTGTGCACCAGTTTCTTACTAATGTGCATTTATGCTCTGTTTATTGTGTTTACTAACAATGAAACCCGACAGCCTGGTGGAGTAACACATCATGTAAAAAATACATCACAAACCAAAAAAGGTCAGTGGTTCCTTGGAGAAGCAGTTTTGTTTCACTCTCTCCAGGACAGATCTGTTTGTGCTCTTGGCAGGCCATGGCTATGTTCAAGACTCTTCTCCAGCATGGTGCTTCTTCTGTCAACCTTAGTCATGGCCCAGCTCCCCGACGTATAGCAAGTAATTGCAAAGACCAGGAGGTTAAGGCATTCAGCACAGTCCCTGGTACAGGTCAGGTACTCAACATGAGTTAGACGTTACTGCTACCGTTACTTGCTATGTACCCACAGTGTCGACTCAGAGTGGCACAGGACTCAGGAACCAAGGAAATTTTCCATTTTTAAACTCTCATTTCTGTACCTGAAGTCCTCCTGCGGGTGACATTCATTCCAGCTAGTAATCCAGTCACTGAACAAATACTGCTCTCTCCTTCAGCTGCGGGGCAGTGTGGGCCTGCTCTCTGCTGCGGAGCACTCGGGACCCCACTGTGGAGGCCCAGGGAGTTGGGCCTTTAAGCTGTGGGATCTTGCAGTTCCTGATTGGCTATCTAACATCTGTGAAAACAGGCCTGGACATTGCCCCGCCCCATGGCCCTCTTGTGGCCTTCCTGTGTTGTGTCTCCACCCTCTGCATGACCTCTGAAAAGGAAGTGGGGAGGCTGGTTTCCTGAGGTCTCCCTCACATGGGCCCCCCACTTCGTGCTGGCGGCAAGAACCTTCTGATACTGGACAGGGCTCCCCAAAGAAGCGTCTCTCTCACTCCAGGCTGCCCAGCGGGCACTCTCCAAGGCTTCTGGTCTCCCACCTCCGGCTCTGTCCCGTAAGACACACCTCCTACACGCCCCACACTGCCATGGACCCCAGCTCCCCAGCTGGAACCTGCTGACATGTTCTCCCAAACACTCTGTCTTTCACCAACCGACATAGTAAGGAGAGCTGGTGGGAGAGACCACCCGATAATTCATCAGCCAATAGGAACCCAAGAGAGTCCCCACCCGAACCCTGTGGCCACATGCAGGCCCAGGCCGAAGGTACAGAGCAGCTCAGCTCACCCCAAAGTCCAGGATGGAAACTCCTCCCACTCAGAAGTGGGTCCATGAGGGGAGGCCAAGCTTGAAGGGTGTTTCTGAAAGCCCCATGTTTTCTCTTTCTGCTGCCTTTCCCCCCTTTAACTCCTTTCCTGTTTTTAAAGTTCAGTAAACACAGCCTAGCATTGTTATTGAAGGAGTTCTGGGTGGCCTAGTGGTGAAGAACCGCACAGCTTACCCAAAGGCACACAGTTCAAGTCCACCAGCTGCTCTGTGGGAGAAAGATGGGCAACATCCTCCATGTGATTTCCTGCCTTTGAAAACCCCCTGAGGGGGTCAGCTTCGGGTCAGTTCCAACCTGACGCTACACAACAGCAGACAGCCTGGACTGAAGGTTCCAGAAACATGGTCTGGCTGTATCTTAGGGCTCCCCCCTTGTCCCTCACTTCAGCCATGCAGAAGGGGATCCTAAAGCCCTTCCCCAACTGGACACAGTGCTCACAAACAGCTTCTCTCACAAGCTTTATTTTCGGGGACAGCACGGCGGGTAGCCCAGCCCAGCCCGGCCCCACAGCCCTCACTGCTTTCCGTTGCCATTGATGGGCAGGTTCAGGTGCGCAGGGGAGGCCAGGAAGGCCTTGAGCTTGGGTCGTTCGCTGAGCCTGGCCACATAGGCCGACAGCAGGGGGAAGGCGTCCAGGCAGCCGGGAGCCAGCACCTGGTGGATCAGCAGCAGGTCCAGCAGGTTGTAGTCAGCGAAGGAGATCTGTGGGCAGAGGGTGAGCTTCAGGAGGGGGGCAGAGAGTCCTGGGGGCTGTATCTGTTTCCCCTCCAAGACTGGGTGAGACAGGGATGGCTCAGGTGCAGGCTTACCTGGTCGCCCACGATGAAGGCTTGGCCTCCCTTGTTCTGGGAGAGGAGGGTCTCAAAGGGCTTCAGGTGCCCGGGTAGTGCCTTCACATAGTTGTCCTTGCCCGCTTCCTGTTCACAAGAGGCACAGTGTACCATCCTCTCGGTACCATGCATGCTCCATCAAGATGCCCACTCAGCCCACCTCTGCTCTCAGCTGACCCCTTCAGTTGGTCCCATGTCAGCGATGGCACCCCGCAGGCTGGTGACTTGAATCCCAGTGCTCTGTGCCCACTCCCCAGGTCCAGGCCATTGCGCAACCCTGCCCATGACTCGTGAACTCTACCTAGTTCTCACCTTCCGGAGTATAGCTACGCCTCGAAGCTGGCCGCACCCCGAAGGTGGCCAAGCTTCTTCACACCTGAACTATGCCCTGTTCACACTCCTGGGCAAGTGCCCACGGCCCCACCCACTGGTGCAGGCCTCCAGGCTCCAGATAAGCAGCCTCACACATGCACACACATTTTTTCACAGGTTCACACACGTAAATGTGACAGCCTGTATGGGCCGCAGACAGGCACACACACGTATTCAAAAGCACACCCCTATATTCACATATAAAAACTCACATGTTTGCAGACACATGCACACACTTAAGCTTACACATGCACACACAGCACTTGGAACACACACAAACGTGCAAGCTCATGAACACATATACACATACAAACTGACAAGCTCAGACACCCATGTCCTCTTGATAACTTACACAAACGTGTGAAAACACACTCGCGTTCTGCCTCTGGTAATGTGATCCCACGTCCCCAAGTGTGCTTGCATGTGAAAATTCCAGCCCCTCCTCCCAAAGTTTATGATAGATCTTTTTCTTCCTCCTCCTGAAAGCTCTCCAAGCTTACCCCACCCAAGCGGGGCATCTGCTGTCCCTGTCCTACGTGGCCTTGCCTGTTCCCTGCCTGAGCCCCATCCCAGGCAGTGAGGATGGGGAATGTCGGGGGGCGTGGTCACTAGCACAGAGCCTGACGCAGCCCGCAGCCCGGTTGCCCTGCCTGAGGGTCTCCCAGAAGTCCCTCTCTCTGCCCCTGCCTGGCCCAGTACTCACGTAGTTGGTGTAGATGAGGATCAAGTACTTGCAGCGCAAGTCCTCCACACCGTCATTCACCACGTCCAGCATGGCTGCCTCCCGTGGGTCCTTCCCATAGAGTCCTGGGGGCAGAGGGGGACAGCATGACTGGGCACCTGACCAGCCCGCAACCCGTGACTGACCCACTGACAGACATGTGGCTGATGTGTGGGGAGGGGAGGAGGTGGTCTCTAGAGGGGAGGAGGGGAGAAAAAAATGATGTCCCGGCTCTGGCGGAGGCAGCCTGGCGGGTGGCAGGCAGGCAGGGCTTGATCTCTAGGCAGTTATGGTCTTGGAGATGGGAGTGTTTTGTTTCCCCAACTGCAAACAGCGTGCTTGCCAGTCCACTGGGCTGCTGAACACTTTGATTTAAAAGGAAGTGACTCAGGTGGTTGGCAATGAGGGGGCTCCAGGAGCCGGCTGCTCTGTGTGTGTGTGCGCGCGGTTGTCCCTCCCCCCTCCCCCAGGTACCCCCAGCCCGGCACTCACCGAGGGAGCGGCCCAGGTGCCGCAGGATGGCGTTGGACTGGTACAGGGTGAGGTCTCCGTCCTGGAACTTGGGGAGCTGACCGTAAAGCTGGGGGGACAGGGCTGAGTGAGGGGCACTGAGCTCAGTTGCCCCTCCCGGCCCTCCAAACCAGGCCCTGTCCCCGCCCTCCTCTGTGAGGGGCACTCACACAGGACGCCTTGAGCTGGCCCTGCTGCCAGGTCTCCATGGTGACCACCTCCTCCTTCCAGCTCTGGCCCTGGTCGGCCAGCAGCATGCGCATGGCCTCGCAGCGCCCTGGGGACACGGAGTGTGGAGGCTACAGTCACACAGCTCACTGGGGTGGGACTGGACACCCCAGGCTATGGGGATCTCTGGACAGCGAGGACTCACAGAAGGAAGTTTGGGATCGAAGCTATATGGAATGGGGGGTAAGCTGTCCCATGGGTCGCCCCTAGGTAAAGGGTAAAGGGTCCTAGGCTGCAGCTCCGAGCCCCTGCTCCAGCCACGCGCTTACCTCGGACGGGGAAGTAGACAATGGTGTAAGGCGCCACTGGTGGACAAAGAAGTTTGTTAGATCCTGGGAGGGTCGGCGAGGGTGCACCGCCGCCCTCCTGGGCCCACCGCCGTGCAACGCGCTCAGGGACCCTCAGGTCGGGTCTCAGTGCTCAGGACTCTAGGGGGACCTAGCCCCAAACCCGCGCTAAATCAGCCCTGGGTCCCTGGACCCCTCCTGGCCTCCTGGGACCCCCGCGTGGGCGCTGGGAAGGCCAGTCCCCAGAGAGGCCGGCCCGTGCTGGGGGCCCTCCTGCTCCATGAGGCCTGGTCCTCACACCATTCCCCCGGGGCCTAGGCCGTGCGCAAACTCACTGGCGGACAGATGGAGGTGCAGGCGGCGGCGGCGGCGACAAGCGGGATCCGGCCTGCAGCGCGGCTTCCGAGCCTTAAAAGGGTCGCCCCGCCCCGGCCCGCCCCGCGCTGAGTCACCGCTAGAGGCGCGCGCTCCCGCCTGTCCAAGGGTCCGCGCGGCACCCACCTCCGCTGAGGGCGCACCGGACCCCGCGCGCAACTCGCTCGTCCTGCAACAAGTTTCCCGACGCCGTCCACTCAGGCTCGCCTCGCACAGAGCACCCGGGGCCCACCGGTCCCTCGGAGCCCCGCTCGTCCGCCTCCAGAACGGAGTGCGCACCGCGCACCTCTACTCAGGGAGTGCACCCCATCCCGACCGTGCGCCCCCGGGCCCACCCCTGACTTTATCCGTGAGCAGTGAGCTAACCCTGCATGGTGAGGCTGGAATTGGGGTTCTACGGCTAGTAGAGGATTTGGGGTTCGCCTAGTGGCACCCCGTTCCCAAGCTTGGGTAGCACGCAGTGACACTAGTTCCTACAAAGACACAACAGCTCTGAGTAAAGGCACGCGAGCGCGCACACGCGATTGTTTCTTTCATAAACATCAGCCGTTTGGATGTCACGCTCGCTCGGATCCCTGTCTAGTGACAAGCCCCCTGGTATTGTAAATAATTATCTTTTTTGTTTGTTTGTTTTCTTTCGAAGCTGCCTTTCTTCCCCTTAACTTGTTTCGAAATGAGACCTTGTTTCACTGACCCTCCAGCCTCCGTGGGAAACCAACTTCATTTGTTAAAAGGAGATTATAATGACAAGGACAGTGGAATCTGGCTAGAATCTGTTGTCCATTGGCTGGGGGACCCCCTGGGAGCACTAAGGAGACTTTGCTTGTGGGAATGGAACACAGTGCAGCCACTACAGAAAAGTCAGGGTGTTCCTCACAAACTTAAACCTAGAATTACCATGTTGTTGTTAAAAGCGATCCAGGTGCCACATCTCAGTGACCCTGGGAACAACAGATCCCATCCCTGAGCTATCCTGTGCCATCCTCATCGTCGTGGACACACGAGCCGTTGCTAACATCACCGCGTCAGTCCACGTCATTGGCGGTCTTCCTTTCCTTCGTTGACCCCCCATCTTTCCAAGCATGATGTCCCTCTACAATGAATAGTCTCACCAAGCTACATGTCCAAAGTAGGAAAGAGGAAGCTTCACCATCTTTGCCTCCAAGGAGCGCTCCAGTTGCACCCTCTCCAATAGAAGAGATCTGGAAATAGTGTCCACACACGTTGTGAATGTACATACTATCACTGAATCGCACACTCAAAGCAGGTGGGACTTGTGTCTTCTCTGTCTCTCTCTTTCTCTGTGTGTGTATGTCTGTGTCACACACAACACAGAGCATCAACAGTTGCTGGAAGCATTTCTGATACAATACTACCAAGTTCAGCTGTGTCCCCTGGTGCCATGAGATTAACGGACAATTACGGACAATGTCAGGATGCACTTCGGTGCTGTTTAACTCCATCTGTCTGTCCCCACATGCCATCCTGGGGGTTCAGGTCTTATGTTCTGGGCCCCTGACAGTCATAGTGGGGAGCTAGGGACTTGCAGAACAGGAGTGAGGGATGGCCAGGCCAGTGGTCCCCTTGTTGAGGGGGCCGAGCTGCTGAGGTTTGGGGGAGCTGGGCCCATGTGGTGGGGTGGACTGGGCCTGCCCAGGCAATTTCTACTCACCTGCATGGAGGCTTCTGGTGCCTTCATAGTTGTAGGGACTCCAACTCCAAAACAAAAAGGGGTGGAGATCAAACTATCCAGTCATTCTCCTGCCACACCATCATCACAGTGTGGTCTGGTCTGTTCTTCTTTTATGTCAGACCCTCAAGTGTGTGTGTGTGACCCTCTGTGTGTGTGTGTGTGTCCTCAGCCCCATAGTGTGTGTGAGAGACCCCGAGTGTGAGCTCTCCTTTTGTGAATGCAGGATGCACAGAGCACCAGTGTGTGTGTTTGCCTTCCGTGTGTTGTGTATGAGAGAGAGCGACCCCTGTGTGTGGCCCCCCATCTGTGTGTGTGTAAGAGAGAGAGTGAGACTCTCTGTGGGCCCCTGTCGCATGTGTGTCAGGGGAAGGGGACTGTCCCAGGCAGTCCTCGGTTTCTAGCCAGTTGTGAGTGGCACAGGCCCTCCTGTCCTTGGTGTGTTTGCTTATTTATCATGTGTTCCCTTTGTCTCATGCCCAGCCCCCACCTCACAGGCACCTGCTGAGCCCCCAGCACCCCCACTGCACCACACTCCACGCCTAGCATGTCCTCTTACGGACCCAAGGGTGAGGTCGTTCCGGATGTCTGCCCAGGCATGGAATTGCTGCGTCTCAGGTATGTGGACACCTGTGTGCTTAATATCAGAATCAGACCGTCCACCCCAAATCAGGGACACCAGCCCCTAGTCCTGTCCCAGCATGTGGCATTAGCAACCTGAGAACACCTGGCAGCCCACTGACGAGCTTGTTTAAACTGCACCCCACCTGCCTGTTCTCAGGCAGGGTGTAAGGCAGCGTCCTCCTGTTGAGATTTGCAGCCCCAGACCTGGCAGAGTCCCCTGACTCAGAACTGACTCAGAGGCAATGGGTTTGGAGTTTCTTTTCTTTTCTTTCTAAATTCCTTTTCAAAGGAGCTTTGGTGACATGGCATTCTGTGTTGGGCTGTAATGGGAAGGTCAGCAGTTCAAATCCACCAGCTGCTCCTTGGCATAAGGATGATGGAGTCCCTGCCTTTACAATTCACAGACTTGGAAACCCAGTGGTCCCCATGGTGGGAACTGACTTGAAGATGGTGAACTGGGTTTGGTCGTTTCTTCTTAACAAAAACCACTTGATATCAAATTTTAGAAGGTTTAAAGGAATGCTCCTTGGAGGCAAGGATTCTGAAGCTTCATCTGACATACTTGGGGCATGTTGCAAGGAGAGACTGGTCCTTGGAGACGGACATCATGTTTGGGAGAGTGGAGGGATGGTGCAGGAGAGGAAGACCCTCAATGAGATGGATCGATTCAGTGACTGGGGTGGTGGGAATAGGTATGTTGGAGACCGTGAGGTTGGCACAGGATAGAGCAGGGTTTAGGGCTGTTGTACATAGGGTCACTATGAGTCACAAGCGACTCGATGGCACATAACAACAACAAATGAATGGTGTTGGTTTATGTCGCCTGAGAAATTGTTTACCTGCCGTCATAAAAATAGAATTAAAAAATATAATAATAACAATATACACACATGAAACAGTGTATATGAATGATAACAATAAAAAGAGAGAGAGAGAGAAATCTACTTTAAAGTTATCTGGCTAAATAAATTCTCAAGAGAGCAGTATATTCCGTTGAGTTTGTAGACAACGGCGTGCATGTAAGTGATCAGATTTTCTCCACCTTTTCCCCGGCTGCAATTTGTAAGTGACTTGCTGTGTAATGGTTTACATTGTGCATCGTGGCTGCAATCCAAGCCAAAATGATCAGATTCACAGATTGAAATGTCACCATAGGTGTTGCCAAATTAAACATCTAGGGGAAACAGTAAGTCTTTCTTTCTTTTTATTAATTAAAAAAAAATTTTAAAAACAGTTTCCGTGAGCATCCATTCAACACATTTGATAGACTGTAAGATGGTTGACATTGGGGCAATCTTGTCCTGTACCAGTCAGATCCGATTTAACAGTACACACAAACACAAATAATAACATTTAAAAAAAATTTTTTTTTAAAAAAAAGATGGTTGGCATGTGTGTTCACCTGTCCATAATCCTCAGGATAACGTGACTATACTGGGCGTGGTAAGGGAACTTCCGTGTCCTGTTGTTGTTGTGTGTCATTGAGTCAGAACAGACCCGTAGCTGACCCTGCAGTGGGTTTTCAGAGGCTATAAATCACATGCCCATCCTTCTACAGAGCATCTTGTGGATTTGAACCGCATTCTGTTTGTCTGATTTACCTCTTGTCTGTGTGGCTGCTCCAGGATGTTCTGTAGAGAGAGGCTGGATTGGTGAGACTTCCTTTCACATACTTTGGGCTGTTATCCAGAGGGGCTAATTGGCAGAGGACATCACACTTAGAGAAATGGAAGGTCAGTGAAAGGGCAGAAGACCTCAAGGAGATGGACTGGTACAGTGGCCGCAACAGTGGTTCAGAATGACAGAGATTGACAGAATGACAGAGGTTGACAGAATGACAGAGATTGACAGAATGACAGAGATTGACAGAATGACAGATTGTAAAGATGGTTCCGGATCAAGCAAGGATCAGCTTACCATCGAGGATTGCTACTAGTCAGATCCCCTCAGACAGCACCTGACAACATCCGTCTACCTTAAGTATTGATTGTATCAGTCTTCTCTCCATCTGTCATGCTGGTGCCTATTGGTTCAGTAATGAGGATTTTTATTTTCTTGATGTTGAACTGTAACCCCTATTGAAAGCTGTAGTCTTTGATCTTCTGCAATAAGTGCTTCAAGTCCTCCTTACTTTCAGCAGGCAAGGTTGTGTCATCTGCATAGCACAAGTTGTTGATTAATCTCACCCTCCAAACCTGATGCCACATTCTTCTTCATAAAGTCTAACTTCTCAAGTTATTTGCTTGGCATACAGATTAAATAGATATGGAGGTAGGATATAAGACTAACACACACCTCTCCTGATATTAAGCCACATGATGTTCCCTTGTTCTGTTTGTACAACAGCTTCTTGGTCTAGGCATAGATTTTGCAGGAGCACAGTTGAGTGTTCAGGGATTCTCACTCTTCTCAATGTTAGCCATAATTTGTTATGACTCAAAGCCCTTGCATAGTCTATAAAACACTGGTAGACATCCTTCTGGTATTCTCTGCTTTCAGCCAAGATCCATCTGGCATCAGCAATGATATCCCTCACGTCACATCTTCTTAATCCAGTTTGAATTTCTGGAAGTTCCTGTCAATGTACAGTTCC